GTGGAAGCACTCCGTGTGGAAAACTGTGGCAAGGAAGCTAGGCAGGTAGCTTTATGTTTGCAACTTGCTATATATTTAGCTAGCTAGATATAATATGCCTGGACTGCAAAACCCGGACAGATTTAGGAAAACGCATCACGATGGCTTATTCTGTGGTGGACTTAATAGATCTACCACGTGTCCCAAATAGCTATACAACAACGAGAAGAGCGCTTAGCGCTATACATCGCAGAGGACGGGGTTTTCATCCGAACGCTGCATAGCAGCAAACGGTTTCTCCTTGTAAACTAGCCTAGATAGAACAGCTGCATGGACCCTAACGGGAGCTACACCAGCGTAATAGAATTTAATAATAATAATACCCCTAAATACTATTTTTATATATACTAGATATCTATTTAATTTTTTAACTAAAAGGTAGATAAGTAGGCTAGTTTATTAAAGGTATAGAGTTAATATAGAAAGAGATAGAATAGAGTTGTATAGATAGATAAATAGAATTATATTACTTAAGTTCTTTTTTATATCGACAGCAGCGGAGTTGTATATATATATATATACGTATAGTATTATAAAACGTCCTCTAACGCTTCTATAACGTTATTTTACTTTTCCTATTTAAAACGTTTACTATATTACGTTTAAACGTGTATAGTTTTAGTTATTTTAAAAGCTTTATATATAGGGATATAACGCTTATATTATTATAATCCTTATATAGTTTTACTTATTTTTTTCTTTCTAAAAAGTACTTTATCTAAAGTATATCTTTTACTAATAGTATTATATAGCTATATAGAGTATATAGATTTAGAGTATATTAATAGTATTTCCCTTTATCTAATTAAAACTATTTTAGTATATATATATAATGTTTTAGCTACCTACTTAGGCCGGCCACCTAAATAAGCTATACTTTTAAGCTTGCTTATTTCCCTACTAATAGCAGATTTTTATACTTTATAGCTTAACTATTTATATACTAAATATAACGCTAAATAGCTTAAATAACTTAGAGCTCTTCTAAAAAGAATAGATTTAGTATACCCTTAATATATACTATAAATTTTTCTAGGCTCTATACTTTACCTTAAAGGTTTATAATAAAAGTAGATAATTTACCTAGGCCTACTAGCAGTTATAATAATATCTATTAGCCTAGAAAGAAAATACTTTTATTAAATATATTTTTTTTAAATAGCAGCCTAGGGCTAGCTAATTATAATTAGATACTTAAAAGGCCTAGCTAAAGGTATACTTTAAAAAAAAGAAGATTTTAACCCTTTTAGCTATAACTAGTATAAGAACTTTCTTTAGTACTATTTAGAAATTAAGCTAAAGCTTACTTACTACTATAATTAATTAAAAAAAAGTACTATAGAATATTAAAAGCTAGAAAAGTAGTTTTCTCTATATTAAAAAACTATAATAAAGTATAGAGTTTTATATAAGAATTAATATAATATAGATAAAAAGGGCTTTATAAAAAAAGTAGGAAATAGCTATAAAGTTTTTCTACTAGTTTAAAAGGAAAAGATATAGTTTATTTAACCTAGAAATTAAAACTAGGAATTAACTATTATAGTAATTAGTATAAATAGATATTTAGTTCTACTATTTATTATTTTCTAAAAAAAGTAGATATAATACTTTTAGATTAAAAACTCTATTAACACCTATATAGTTATCTATATTAGTTCTACTAGCTAAACTAACTAAAAAATTACTTTATATTAGCTAGAATACTTTAATAGCTATACTAAGCCTTAAACTATAGGAAAATATAGGCTTCTAAATAGCTATAACTTTTATATATTACTTAATTTTATCCAGGCCTATATAAATTCTAAAATTATTTCTTTTTACCTACTACTTTATACTACCTATATTTTTTTTTACTACTTAATATAGGCATTTTTATACTAGTTATAAAGGTATATAAAAAGTAGATCTAGAAATATAGTTTTTTTAGGGCAGAGTATATTACTAATAACTAGTTTTTTTTTTTTTTTTTTTTAATAAGTAATTAAGAAAGCAGTAATAATAACTAATATTATAAGTATATAATAAAAGGCAGGCCTGCTACTATTTAATCCTATATTAGTACTATATAAATTTAGGCTAAAAATACCTTTTTTTATTAGCCTAACTAATAAAAATAGTATATAGGTAGATATTTAGGTAAATTAGGATTAATATAGTTAGAAAAATACTTAGAGAAAGTATATAAAACTAGGAGGGCGTATAGAATATAGCGCTCGTTGCGATTTATAAAAAACTAAATATCGTACTATATTTAGTATAACTATAAGAAGAGAACTATATAAAGGAAAAGTACTAAGGTATAGCGCTATATAGTAGAGAAAGTAATAAAAAACCTAAAAAGTATATAGAAGCTAGCTAATTAGGGCCGTATAGCTAGTAAAGAATTAAAACCTTCGCCTTAATTTCCCCCTTTTTTAAAACCTAAAAACCCTACTTTATATATAGATAATAAAATAAAAGCACGTATACTAGTAAAGTAGTTTTTTCTGCCTCCGGCTAATATAGACTTATCTAACCTAAAAAGGTTCTAATACCCGGAACTATATAATACTACGCTAGATATTATAATTAAGGATATTTTTTTAGCGCTAATAGGAACTGCTCTAGATAAAGCCCCGGGTATTATAGGGATTACTAATAGGTTTTTTAAAAAGTGCGAAATATAGCTAGTATCTATACTAGCTTAGTTTTTTATAAGGTGCCTATATAAAGAATACTATTCTTAGCTATTTAAAGATTCTATTATAGTAGTGCTATATAAGCCCTAAAAAACGTTCTATATAATAGTAAAAGCCTATAAGCCGATCGCCCTGCTAGAAATAATAGGTAAGCTATTCGAACGGATTATAGCTATACGGCTATCGAAAATTATAGAAGAAAAGAATATGCTTTTACCTAGTTAAATAGGGGCATAACTAGGATATTTAATATAGATAGCACTTAAGCTTTTTACTAAATAAATCTATACTATATAGAAAGGAAATCTATAGCTTATAGTATTACTTCTTAGCCTATATATATTAGGGGCGTTTAACCGTATATTATATAAACGTATAATATATAACCTATAGATTTAATAAGTGCCGGAGTAAATAGTTAGGTTTATAAGGTTTTTTCTATAGAACTATACTATAAGGCTTACTATTAGAAACTTTATAGCGGAACCTATTATAGTTACTATAGAAATACTATAGGGCTTCTCCCTATTACTAATACTTTTCCTTTTTTTTACTAGTATACTTCTACTAATACTATAGCGCGGTAATATAACAGCCTATAGGTTTATTAATAATATAAATATTTTTATATATAGCAAAAGTATAGAAAAGAACTATAAAGCTATTAAATAGGCGTATAACCGGTGTATAAAATAGGTAAGAAAGTATAAAGCAGTTTTTACGCTAGATAAATACTACCTAATATACTTTATAAAAGCCCGCAAGTCTATTAATATAAAAGCTATAGTTAATATATAGGGCTTTACTAAAAGCCCTATAATAGATCTAAAAATACTAAAGGTTTAGGTAGATTCTAAACTTAAATAGGGCCCGTATATTAATACTATAAAAAATAAAGCTATAGCCTAAATAAGGGCATTTATAAGGCTTACAGCGTTAACCTAGGGCGTAAGCTTCCGGAAGGCACGTATAATATACTCGGCGGTTATTATTAGGCCTGCTATTATATATAAATATATTTCCTAGTATACTATACTAGGTATAAAAAAGCAGATTAGTAAAATAAAAATTAAGCAGCTTAAAATAGTATAGAACTAGTGCCTTTATACTATTTTAGAGGTATATAAAATAATAAATATTAGGGTAATAAAGCACGAGATATTATACCCTCTACTCCGGCTAAAGCTAAAAAAACTTATAGTAGCCTACGCGGACTATATATATAAGGGGCCAGCCTATAAGTATATTAAAACCTAATATAGCCGTATAAAAAAAACGGTTTATACTAAATACAGGCCGAAAGGAATACTATAGTACGGCCTAAGCAGGTGTAATAAACTTTATAAGCTTACGGTAAAGGTATTACGGCTAGCCGCATAATATAAAGGCGAATCGGAAAAATCCTATAGGCGTATAAGGCGTGGTATAATCTAGGATAAATATAAAAAGAAGTGGAAAAAGAAATAGAAAGCCTATTATAAAAAACTACGCTAAAAACCCCTAATATTAGCACTTAATACTAAATAAAGCAAATAATAAAAGGTACTATATAAAAAACTTATAAAAGTAGAAAGTATAATTATTATAAACCTACGGATAGAGTATATAGGGCTTAACGGTTACCTCTACTATATAAAAGTGCCCGGCCACCTAACGCCGGCATGCCCTTGCGGGTATAGCCTTTAATTCCTAAAATATATTATAATAAGTTGCGGAAAACACGTTAAAAGCAAGGGTGAGCTATTTTAAAAGGCTAAAATAAGGACGTATAAATAGCTCTATAAAAGCTAAAAAAAAAAAAAGGCTATAGCCTAATAGCTTTTCTAAAAAATAGATTTCCTGCTATACTTTTTAGTAGCTAAAAAAATAGTAAAAGCGAAAATATAGGTATTCTATTTTCTATAACTTTATATAACTATATATACTATATATACTAT